CATTTAACATTTTGCTAGATTTCTCAGTACCTAGTGATTGTAAAAAGACGATTTATAGCTCGTTGGAATCGCCTCATCGAGACGAATCGAATGGTGGTAAGCTCATCTCTCTGTGATCAATATTGACGGAGTTATTACTTAAAAACCATTTAATATTTTTTAATTTTGGAAATTGATCTAGTGATTGGATTTTGATGTATTTTATACCATTAGATTTGTCTCATCAAGACGAATCGAATGGCGGTAAGATCATCTCTCTACGATTAATATTGGCGAAGTTATGATACAATAAATTTTTAAGTATAATTCTGGCTAAAATTATGTTAATTTTTGGCCGGAATTATGATATACAAATATAAGAAATTTTTTATATAGTAACATTTCTTTATAATCACCAAATATGAACTGTCCCAAATATGTGACTATAAAGAGAGTTGACTGTAAATAACATTTTCACTTAATTGCCTGAAATTATCCTAAATTTCATTAAATTATTCAAAATTTTAGCTAACATAATATTACTAAAAATTTGACTAAATTTACCACAATTTGCATTACGTTTGCATTAAATTACTAAAAATTTATCTAAATTTACTACAATTCGCATTATATTTGCATAAAATTACTAAAAATTTATCTAAATTTTATACAATTTACATTACGTTTACATAACATGATTACTAAAAATGTATTTAAAATTTCCTATAATTTAATAATTATTTACTGAAAATTTTTTCAATATTTGAATTAAAAATTCTGTAGAAATAATGCCATTTTGACAAAATTTGCCAAATTATAAGTCCTTCATTATTCTAAAATTGTAACACAATTTACCTCAATTTACCGAAATAATTCTCAATTTGCCAGAAAAATTTCAGGTAAATTTTGTGACAATAGCATCTGTTCGACTTGTGTAATTATTATATCAACAAAAAGGTATTTTAATATTTAAAAAAATGGAATTTGACAATAATATAACTAATAAAATAAGGGTATTTTTATATAAGAAGTAGTAACTATAAAAGAAGATGACTATACTTAAATTATATTTAATTTTTCATTTCAGTATATTTTAAGTATATTTATAAAATAAATATATATATATATATATATATTTTAATGATTTATATATGCTTTATTGATATTAAATTTATATATCATACAAATAAATTATTATGAGTTATATCCACCTAAAAAATAAATATATTTTAAATATATTATTATATATTTAAATTATCTCTTAAACCGTTTGCGGACAAATTTGCTCGCAATTTCTAAATTAGAATAAATGACGCTATAAATATTTTTTAATTTTAGCCAGATCATCACATAATTTTGTAGCCAAATTAATCTACATTCTGGCCATAAATTGTATGAGTTAGATATGCGGTTGATCATTAAAATTGGATGAGAAATTAACTCGCAAAAATAGTATTGGAATTTTTATATAATAAAATCTAGACTTTTCTTATCATATTTTTTCTCTATTTGAATATTAATTATAACTTTTTATTTTCATTATAAAAATTTTGCATTATAATAAACAAAATAGAGATAAAAAAAATTAATTTTTATGAGTATATAATTAAAATGTATAATAAAATTTTCATTTAGGTTCTATATAAAGTCAAAATCCTACTTATAAACATCAAAAAATCATATTAACAAAAGTTGTTTCTCACACCAAATTCTACATGTTCTATTAAGCTTTTATATAGCTACAATTAATTATCAATGAAATTGTCAAAGTTAAGTGCAAAGATTTTAAAATTTTGTGATTATCTTAAAATACAACTTTTGACCAATGGATAATTTTTGATTTTCTAATATATAAATTTATAAATGATAATAATTGCTACACAATAAATAATTTAAACTATTTTGAAAAAAAATTTTATTAAAATTGCTTTATTTTTTATAAAATTAGATGAGAGCTGAAATTTGATAAAATTGCGGGCAAATTTGCTTGCAATTGCTTACAGTTTAAGGGATAATTATATTATATTTAGCTTCATAATAGATTAATTATATTTAAAATTGTATTTAATAAAATAATTTTTAAATAAATTATAATATATATATTATTACTTCCTCCTATTCAATTTTTAATAAATTTTTTAGATATATTTAAATGCAAATTATATGATTATATATATATATATATATTAATTTGCTAATTATTTCTTTTTGAAAATATCTAGAAAATCATTTTCTAAAAAATTAAAATTTTTATAAAATAATTAAAGTAATAGCATATATTACATCATATTTAGTTTAATATAAACTTACCTTTTCCTTTCAAATTTAATATTATAAATCATATAATTATATAATTTTATTAAGTGTAATGTAAAATTTTAATTATTTTTTTCTTTCTTTAATAATTATATTATAAGTTATCACTAAAAAAAATGATTAGCAAATTGATCATATAATCTGCATTTAAATACATTTGAATATATCTGAAAATTTTATTAAAAAATAAACAAATAATTGGAAATTTTGCAAATAGACTGTATTTACTTATTTTATTTAAAATTATTAATAAAAATATTTTTAGTTATTATTTATATAAAAATCTTGATTAAAAAACTTCTATATAGTAAATATTGAAAAAAGAAAATTGATTTTTACTTTAAAAATATTTGTTAATTTTTTTATTTATAATAGTAATATTTTTAAATTTTTTTGTTTTTTATTTTTATTTGTAATAAATAATAAAACTCATTTATATGTTAAATTATGAAAATTATTATATATATATTATTTTAAAAACAAAGTTACCAGATTATTTCTTTAAATTTCTATTTTTTTAAAGTATAACAAATTTTTTACCTTTAATATTGTACTAATTTTGTCATATAAAAAAACTTAATAAAGTAATTTATATTAAATATTACCAGTGGTAAATTTAATACCAGTATTTATTAAATTTTTAATTCTGGCCAAGAGTATATCATAATGCTAGTATGGTAACTATTACTAATAGTATTTTATTTTCATAATATAAGTATTATATTATATAATTTATTGAATTTTTTTCTAATAAAAACTGCTAGTATATCTAGTATATGATAACTACTGGTTAACATATGTATAATATTATTACTGGGAATATAAATATCATCGATTTCTTTGTGAAACTGTGGCTGATTCAAGTTGATCACACTTTGTTGAAAAACGGAATCGTATATTATTAAATCTCCAAATCTTTTGCTGCAGTTTTTAAGCAAAGCCGCTAAAAAAAAGGATAAAAAGGTACACATAAGATTTTTTTGAAAGATTATTACATAATGTGGTGTTTTTAGGTTTTTGTACACGAACCTTTTTCTGTTTTCGTATGCAATTTTTATTCAATATCCTTTTTATTGTATATATATAGGATATTCGATTGTACTTTGGTTGGTCGTTTCTTTTGTTTCTCTTTTTCTGTTTCTTTTAACGCTTATTTGGATCTCATTGACTCCGCTCCGTGCGGTCAAACTTATTGAAAAGATTGCAGCATGGAGCGGGATACGAACGCTTTATATGTTACTTTGGGGGTACAAAAAAGCTCTACCGAAGAAGAGATTAAGAAAGCATATCGACGTTTGGCATTAAGATTTCATCCTGACAAGAACCCAAATGCTGCTGATCAGGTATAATGTTTTTTAAGAACTTTCCTAACATGTTAAAAAAAGGATTCATATGATTTTCATTAATTGTCTGGTATTTCAATTCTTTGAAAATCAATTTTTAAACCAATTTAATTTAAAAAAGTTTAAGGCAATTACACATGCATACGAAATACTTAGCGATCCTAAGAAGCGATCAGTATATGATAAATATGGGGAAATGGGAGTAAATATGATGGATTCGGTAGCCGGATTTTTATTTGATCCAGATATCGAAGGACCACTTTGCTTTTTTTTCACTGTCATTTCAATTTCGATCATTCTCTTGATCTTGTTCTTTACTTTTTTATCGATAAGAGTAGATGGAAAAGTATCATGGAGCCTGGGAGTTGTGTTTATACCAATATGGATCGTAGATCTTGTGGCATTTTGTGTTTTGGTGGCACAAACAAAGAAAGAACCGACTGATGATGAAAATGATGAGGAAGAATTTGAAGTTGATGATCCTGGAATCAGGGAACAAGCGAGAGAGAAAAGAAGACAACAACAAAGAAGATTACATCGTATTAGAAATTTTTTGGCGATTGCATATGTATTATTGGTCTTTACATTTCAAATATTAATTGTTCTTCGAGCCGATCGGGTTATAATTTGGAATGCAGCTATCGTATTTATTCCATATTTTATTATTGAAACTATTAATATGTATCCAAATATCATAGAGTATATTGTCATACTCAAAACTTCTAGGATATATGATGATAACGGCAGTCCTTCCTTAAAGCTCAAGATTAAAATGTTCTTTGAGACCTTTTGGTGGCTTTTAATTAGAGTAGCTTTAGCAATCTTGATCGTTCTTAGGATTGATGAAGTTATTACTGTTAGCTGGGGAATTGTTTTCTTTCCATTATACTTAATTGGACTTCGTTATGCTCTTTGGATCTTATGGCAATGGTTAGCATTAAGAAAAGCCGAATCATTGCAAAATAGATTAAAAGTCGATGTCATAGTTTCAGCTATTGCATTTGGCATAGTTGGAACTTTATCTTATACTCTAATAGGATTATTAGCAAGCAGGCTTGATGGAAATAATAGAATTAAATTATCCTCTATTTTAATTCCTGTATTTATTGTCTTATCACTTTTATTTTGTTGTACAGGTTGTTGTTTACCTCTTGTTTTCTTGAATTGGGGGGGAATTGGGGATGATTTAGAAGGTAGTGCTGAAACTTCATTGATATCACCTGATAAAAGAATAACTTATCCTACTATAGCTGGTCCAAGTTCCTCACTTGCAAGAAACAGCAATGATACAGTATAATAATTCATCAAAGAAATTAGTATATATCTGATGATCATCTTATAATTATAGAAAATTATGACTGTAATATATGAAATATATGACAAATTGGCCAATTTTACTTGGCAAATGAAAAATTTATATGTAATATATATATTTTATATATATATTAAACATATATGATATTTATAATACCTTATTACTATTAAAATTTTTTTAAAACTGTATAATAGACTTTTACTATTTAGTCATATTGTATTTAAAAAAAACTTAATTAAAATAATTTATTAATAAAAAAAATTTTTGTATTAAATCTATATTTTTTAAAAATATTTTAAAAAAGTAAATATAAAGAAAATAGCTTTTTATAACTAATTATTACTTATTTTTTTTTTAAAGATATTTGTATAAAAGAATCCTTAAATAATTTTTTAATAATACTTTTTTTTTCCTAGTTATTGATAAATAAATAAAAATAAAAAAAATATTTTTTTTTTAATTGCAGTATATTTGATAGTTTATTAAAATTCAAAAAATTAAATTATATATAGTAAAATGATAAATTCTATCTATTCTAATATTATTAATTATTATTATAATATAAGATTATTCCATATATGCACTGTTTAAAGTTGCTTGGCAAAAATAAAAAGACCTTGCCAAAATGGTAAAAATAATTTTGACATTTTAATATGATGAAATGACAAAATTATTCTATTATTAAAATTGATCAAAATGCAAATGATAAAATAGAAAAATAATTTTAACAATTTTAACATAATGAAATTCACTAATTTTGACAAGCAACTTTAGTACTGTCATTAATATAATATTTTAATATAATATATTATAAAAAAAATTAATAAATATACAGTTAATTCTTCATAAATACATCTTTTATAAATGAATCCTTTTATTATATATATTTTCATTAAATATATCCTTTGGTTTAATTCAAACTTATAATAAAAAAAAATCACAAAGTTAATACTATTTATTATTATAATTTATAAATTCATTATTCAATATAATTTTATCAAATATATATTTTTTCTAAATATATATAGTTTCAAAGAAATGTATTTATAAAAAGTTGACTGAATTTTAAATTAAATATATAATAAATAAATTTTATTTATTTTGCAAATTAATTAAAAAAAACATTACTAAATTTTATTATAAGTAATTTTTATTATACTAGTATAGTCAACTCCCTCTATAGTTATTCCCGTTATAGTCACATTCTACTATATAGTCACACCAGTTGAATGTTCAAAATACTTTATTATTAAAATCTATCCTATATAGTCACAATCTATCTATAGTCACTATCATGCCTATCCTCAAAAATCTTATATTAAAAAGAACCATTTATAATCACAGTTATATAAAAAAAATATTAAATAACTTGGCATCCAATAATTGTATAAAGATATACCATAGCTTGTTAGAATTGACTCACTGAGATAAATCGAATGGTGGTAGTTTTATTCTTTATGATTACTGGCTGATGAGTTATTCAACAAAATGTTAAACATTAGCATTATAATATTTTTTAATTTACGTTTACTGTGCCATTTAACATTTTGCTAAATTTCTTGGTACATAGTGATTATAAAAAGACGATTAATAGCTCGTTGGAATCGCCTCATCATAACAAATCAAATGGTGATAAGCTCACTTCTCTGTGATCAATATTGACGGAGTTATTACTTAAAAACCATTTAATATTTTTTAATTTCAGAAATTGATTTAGTGATTGAATTTCGATGTATTTTATACCATTAGATTCGTCTCATCAAGACAAATCGAATGGTAGTATAATCGTCTCTTTAGGATCAATATTGACAGAGTTATTACACAAAAACCATTAATATTTTTTAATTTCAGAAATTAATCTAGTGGTTGGATTTTGATATATTTTATACCATTAGAACTGTCTCATCAAGACGAATCGAATGGTGGTAAGATCATCTCTCTACGATTATTATTGGTGGAGTTATGATACAATAAAGTTTTAAGTATAATTTTGGCTAAAATTATGTTAATTTTGGCCAGAATTATGATATACAAATATAAGAAATTTTTTATATAGTCACATCTCTTTATAATCACCAAATATGGACTGTCCCAAATGTGTGACTATAAAGAAAGTTGACTAATAATAAAATTATTTTTTTACAATTAATATTTGTAGTATTATGATATAATAAAATTTTCAAGTATAATTTTAATTAAATCAAAATTCATTATAAGAGTTGGTTGTAAGGTTGCTTGCCGAAACTAGGGAGTTTCGGCATGCCGAAACTGCCAAAACTGCCAAAACTAGGTTTCGGCAAGCAACTGAAAATGCCGAAATGCTGAAACTGCCGAAACTGCTGAAACTGTTTCGGCGTTTTAGCGCAGTATATCATATGATATACATATAGTTTTGGCATTTCTTAATTCAGTTAAGCTTCGATCAGTTTTTTAACTGATCATTGATAATCTAAAACGGGTTTTTAAACCGTTATCGTTATTTTTTTTTTAAAAAAAACTTTTTTAACGTTAAAAAGATAATTTAACGTTGAATTTTATGATCGCCCGCCCACCCTTTATTTTAACGTTAGTATATTTTACTAACGTTAATTTTTTTTAATTTTTTCTTGAATTGTATTAAAGAAACGTACAAACGTTTCTATTTTCTTGTTTTTTAGGATACCGGACTCCTAGGAACTTGAAAGAACCCGGACTTTGGTAAGTATATGGGG